CTTCTATCTCCATTCCAATAAGATGTGATGATTGAATGGCTGCAAATTTTACATGTACATTTTGCATTGATTCTATCCTTTTTCTAAAATCTTGATAAAAATTATCAAGTGACTGAAACATTGATCGTCTCAATTCCTGTTTCAACGTTAAAGCTTCATCTTTACTTTCTTCTCCAGGCATAAGCTTTCTTTGACTTTTTCGACCCAATTTTTCTGTAGCTATTCCCATTTCTTCACAAATTTTTGTAGAAAATATCAATGCATTTTCAACCAATTCATCGCGACTCTCATGCAGAAAAAGTTTTAAAGTATCTAATTTTTCAATTGTTTTATCTAAACCAATTCCTTCTGTTTGCAAGTATTTTTGAGTATGATTGACTTCCTCAAGAGTACTGCTCCAGAAATGAAGATAAGCAAGAAATTTGAAATCTTGAATATTTTTCATTAAAATTTGAGCTGAACCTCTCGTATCTACATTTTCTGATGGATCACATAATTTTTCTAAAGCCTGTACCAACTTGCTGAAATGATTCATTACAGGTTTCACCGCATGATATTGCTCACTCCACCTGGTTCCTGCTAGCCTTTTTGCAGTGATCTCGACTATTTCTGACAATATATCCCATCTATGTCATCTATGAGTTAAAGTCATCTATGAGTTGATGAAGAAAAGAAGTTGTAAATGCTTTCAATTGTTCCAAAAAACGTTACACAAGTTGGATTGCTTCCAAATGCGTGAACCCCGCTCAAGTTAAGTGAATGATTAGAACAAGGTACAAATAAAATTTTCTGATTTATTTGATGGATCCTGGCTTGTACCCCAGAATGAACACCTGACATTACCGAAGCATTGTCATAACCTTGGCTTCGACATAGGTTTATGTCCAAACCCTCTTCGTCAATAATATTTACAATTCTTTGTGTGATATCAATAGCCTTCTTTCTGGCAAGAGGAAAAAATCCTAAAAATGATTCTCTTACCTCTACATTTTTGTTTTTTATATGAACATATCTAATAATCTCACTTAATTGGTCTTGGTGAGATATATCAGGTGTTGAATCAAACATTATCCCGTAATACTTTGCTTGCTTTACATCATCAATAATTTTCTGTTTCACAGTATCTCCCAATATAGAAATAAATTCATTCTGAATTTTAGGGGAAAGATATAAAATCGTGTTTCCTGCCTTGCTATGTTGGACCCTCACTAAATGTTCTTTTAAGACAGGGTCGTAGTGTGAAATTAATTCAACTAACCCTAAGAAATTGCCTTTATTGTTAGAAAAGTCATCTTCTCTGTGGCCTCGAAAAGGTAAATTTTGTTTTGATAGAAACATGGTGACATCCAAT